TTGCAATCCTCCTGTCTCAGCCTCAGAGAGCTGAGATTATGAGTCTGTATCATCAGATCCAGCTCTGTTCATGGAGAGAGAGAGACAGAGAGAAAGAGAGAGAGACAGAGAGAGAGAGAGAGAGAGAGAGAGAGAGAGAGAGAGAGAGAACCAGCAGACGGGATACATATGAGCACATGTGTGGAAACCAGGGTGAGCACCAGGTATTTTCCTTAATAGCTCTCTATCTTATGTTTTTAAGATAGAGTCACCAAGTGGTCTATGTTGGGATCCTGGAGAAGAAGTCTCTCTCTCTCATACCAGTGAAGGAATGCTCTTTGGCAGAATAGATGATCCTGTCAAGAGAGCCAACAGGGAGAACACAAATACCTTCCTTCTTTCATGTCCCTTTATTGTGGGCTGCCATCAGAAACAGTCAAGTTGACAACTAATTACACATCACAGCTACCTGTCCATTTTTTGTTGTTGTTGTTGTTGTTTGTTTTGTTCTTAACATGGGTTCTGGGGATCAAACTCAGGCAGATCTCCATGCTTGTGTTGCAAGCACTTTACCCACTAAGCCAGGTCCTCAGCTCCTACTCATGTATTTCCTGATGTGTTGGTCATCACCTTCCACCTTGTTTGAGGAGGGGTCTAGCTGGTCACCGCTGTGCACACCAGGCTAGCTATCCTGTGACCATCAAGGAATCCTTCTGTCTCTGTGTCCCATCTCTACAATAGAACACCAGGATCACAGTCACGTGTTCTTCAGTGCCTGGCTTTATGTGGGTTCTGGGGCTCCTAACTCAGGGCCTCAGGATTGTACAGCCAGCACTTTACCTACTGAGCCACTCTCCAGCAGCGGACACATATTACTGGAATGTAACCTCGGGACAGGCATGCAATTCCACCACTCCCAAAAGTCCAGTCAGCTAGTGATCCCGTAGCACACTATGACCTCAGACTCTCCTCCGCACAAAGCACTGGGAATCAAGGCCTCAAAACAAAGATTGTTGTTTTGGTGAGCCATCTGAGATAATTCTCTCCCTTCTTCCCTCCTTTCTCCTTTTCCTCTTCTTCCTGCCCCTTTTTCCTCCCCACCCCCATTTTAGAGACAGGGTCTCACTTGTGCTGCTTTCCCTGCCTCAGCCTCAGGTTTTTTAATTTAAAATCTCGAAACATTCAAGTGTGGTGGTGCGCAGCTGTACCCCAGCACTCGGGAGGCCCAGGCTTTGAAGGCACTCTTGGCTACCTAGTGAGCTCCAGGCCAGGCTAAGATACACAGTGAGGCCTTGTCTCCCAGCGTTGTCAATAAAACTAAACAAGGTTTCAACAGTCAAGAACCAGTCTGTTCCCTGACGACCGAAGTGGGACACAGCTCGCACCTCTTGGTGATAGGCCACTCAGACACAGATATGTAGTTTTGCCAGTTCCTCTAGCAGGACTGGGTCAGACAGTATATAGGTGGAGGTAGCTGTTGGTGGAGGAACATCAACCTCCCTTTGGGAGACTGAAGGACAGGATACTGTGATGCCCTTTCATCCATGTGAATGGAGTTTCCGGGGCTCTGTGGGCCTGTGGATTTACCCAGCAGGCAGAACTGATTTAATTCATTTCTTCCTACCCATTCAGTCTTCATTCATATAAGCATGAGTGAAGTCTTTTTCTCTACCAGGATCTGAAGCTATGGGAAGGTTCACCCAGCCTTGGCTTTCTTGACACCACTGCCCTCAGAACTGAAGGCTCTAAATAGGTTCTCAACTATTTACATTCTCATGTAGACATTCAGTCCTGTAGATTCTCAGATGCAACCAATTGCAAGTGGAAAAATACAAGAGGAAAAAGGGGCGGGGGGTGGTCTGTGGCGATGCCTTAGTGACTGAGTGCTTACTGCGCAGGTGTGGGACCAGAGGTGGGTCCTCAGAACCCACATAAAGCTGGCCCTGAGAGCACGCACCTGTACTCCCAGCCCCCTGATGGGAAGATGGGAGGTGACAACAGGAGAGCCCCAAGGAACTAACAGGACAGATGGTCTGACATACACATCAGCAAACAAGAGAACTGGCTCAAACAAGGCCGAAAGTGAGGACTAACACCTGAGGTTGTCCTCTGATACCCACATGTGTCCTGTGGCAAACACACACACGCATCATACACACAGAGAAATTCCATATGTATTGACCTTTATTCCCCTTATCATGCTCCCTAAACAACGCCACACCAATGATCCCCGTAACAATCACACCACGTTTGTTTTAATGAGCTAGAGATGACCCCCTTTGTTGTTGGTGTTCCTAGTTTTCATGTATTTGTTTTCAGCCAGGGTCTCACTCTGAAGTCTGTGCCTGCCTGGGACTCACGTGTGACCTTCCTGCTGCAGCCCCCCAACTATTAGATTATATTCATGCACCACCACAGGCAGCTTAGAGACAACTGAAAAGGGCATTGGGTGTTCTAAAGACTTCCTACCATAACATTTTATGTTAAAGATTTGTTTTCATTACTTTTTAATTCAGCCTCTTCTAAATTCTTAGGACAAGGGCAGAAGGCAGTCAGACTCTTTGCCAAAATATCACAGAAATGACCTCTAACTCAGTTGCTGTTAAAAGCCCTTGCTTCCCTTGGAAACACTGGGAGACACTCTCCGATCTACACTTACTCTCCACTTGTGAAATGAGGTCTTATCAGAAGGAACGGTCAAGCCCTGAGTACAGTATTCAACCCCTTGTCTAGTTCAAATCTCTAAAGTATTCTAGATTCCTCCAAAAAACAATACAGACAAGTTATTCACAGCAACATTTCCCACTCTCTCTGGTACAAACATCTGTGCTGTTCCTTTTGTTGACCCAAAGGACTACGGAAAAAAAGTGTTTATCTTAGCTTATGATTCCAGCGGAGAGCCTATGATAGACAGGGAAGTCTTGAGGAAGGCATGGCAGCTGTCAGTCAGATGGGGAACCACACACAGAAAGGGAGAGAAATGAAACGGAAGTAGGGCATGGTTGTAAACTCTTGAATACCGCCCCCAGTGACATACTTCCTCCAGCAAGGCTGCACCTCCTAAAGGCTTCATAACCTTCCCAAACAGTGCCACTAACTTGAAACTAAGTATTCAAATAAAAAGCCTAAGAGGGGTGCTGTTCATTTGCCTATCAGTAAATGGCTATAAACCCAGATGGGCATGCTGCTCAACTATGTTCCTATTTCCAGACAGGAGAAACAAATTTTAAAAATCGGTGAACAGCTTAAGTAACGAGGAAGTGTGCAGGCAAGCTTCAACTTCAGAGCTGTTGGTTTTCTCCTTATCCAGGCAGAGTGCAGGTGCCCCTCCGGCCTAGTTATGCTGGTGGCTTCATGACACATCTGCGGGCTTTGCTCTCCCCACCTGTAGCCTGTGAAGCATCTATGTTCATGAAGAACTTTTGACATTATAAATCTCAAGGAGTGGCCCAGTCTCATGGACACTCCAAGATCTACAATTTCATGCAGACATGCAGGTCCTGCAACCCTGCAGTTAAAACTCCATCCTGTTCTGGGAATGCAAGTCAGTGGTAGAGTATCTGCTTAGAATCCGCCAGTGAGGGGCTGGGAGTGTGTTTTCTAATGTGAAAAACTATAACGGTGCTTGCTGTTACTGTTTAAAATAACAAGCAACAACAGAAGAAATCATAACTCCCCCCAAACAACAACATCAACAATAATACCCTTACTGAAATGGAGAGCCAGACTTGGTGTCTATGACTGCGATCCCAGTAATTGGGAGATGGGGTCAAGAGAATCAGGAATCAGGAAGAGTTAGGGGCCAGTCCAGGCTTGAGACTGAATAACAAATACCAAAATCGCCAATGAAGTCCAGATAAACAAACAAAACAAAACAAAACAAAACAAAACAAAAAAAACAACCAAAAATACCCCCTCTCCCCTTCAAAACAAAGTCAAGCTAACCTGGAACGTACTCTGTAGAAAAGTGTGGTCTTGAGCTTCTGATCCTCCTACCCTCTGAGTCCCAGCATCTAGGCGTGGCAGCAGCAAGCCTGGTTTGTGAAGAGCCTCAGAGCCAGTTGAGGTCTAGGCAAGTGCTCAGCTTCAACTCCACAACTGAAATGCACCCCAGTCCCGAACCCCAAAACCCAAACACACACCTCCCTTCCCCTGCCTCCAACAAAAAGCTTAAACCCAAACCAACCAAACAAAACTAACCAAGGGTCAACAGCAACAAACTTTACTGCGGTGGGAGGAATGGAGTGGGAGCCCCTGAATTCACTCAGCGGATTCTTAACTGTTGGTTTATCTGCACTCTGCTTTCCTCCTCAGGCCTAAGAGATTAAAGCATCAGAGGCGGGCTTGGATTCCAGTCTTTGGAACTCCTGGGTCTCAGGAAAAGAAGTGGGTTGTGGAGAGTCAACAGGGCCATAAATCCGCTTGTTACCAATAAGGTGTTTACAGAAGTGTGAGCGAGCACAGAAGGATAAACTCAGATGGTCAGAAGTCTCCCAGGGCCCTAGCAAGAAGGACACAAGGCCTAGCTCGGAAAGTAGCGGAATCCGAGTCTCCAGGCCAGATTTTCCCTCTAGCCATTCCCGGCCAAGCTAAGCAGAGCTGCTAAGCCAAGAGAAAGGGACGTCTTCCTAGGCTGCCAGAATGGAACAAACCCGCCCGCCTAGAGAGCGCTGAGAACCCCAAGGGTCCCTGGCAGCCCTTAGCAGCCAACATGACTTGACTGCTCCCGGGTCCCGCGCGCTCCCCACTCTCTCCACACGCCCCCACCCTTTCCGGGTGCGCGCGCAAGAGCCGGCCAGCTTCCCCTAGCTGTGCGCTCCGCAGCCTGCGGGTGGCAGCGGCGGTGGCGACTGGCTCTTAGGAAAAGAGGTGACCAAGGGACCGCGGAGGAGGAGCCGGCGCCGCAGCCGCTCCCCTCGGGACCGCGCCCCGCCTTCCGCCGCTACCTGAGCATCCCCTCTTGGCTCCCCAGCTGCTCCGGGCTACCCCACCATCCCCCTGGGGGACCGTGTGTACTCTCAGTGCCGTAGCCGCGGTGTCATTGCATTCGGCGATCGGGACATTCGAATCTTGGTTCTCTTGGGGGCTTGGGACGAGCTGCGCGGGCCGTGGTGACAGGCGGCGGGGGCGCCAGCGCGCATCCCTCCCCCGCGGCGGGTAGAGAGGCGTGTGGACAACTGGTGTGACTTTGGAGATCCGACCCCTCCTTCCGGCCAGCCTCGCGACGCGCCACCTTCCGAGACAGGCCACTGTGTCCGGCAGGCCGTGGAGGCTCATGTGGGGACTTGGAACGTGTCCGGGAACCCGTGGCGTTGTGCGCACTGGTGAGTTTTGCGGGCGGGGTGGGAGCGGAGAAGACGTCGCGCTGGGTCCCTGCTCCCGCCCCTTTCCTGCTGTCCCCCCACTTTGAGAGAGTCATTGAGATCTGAGCGTGACTGCGGAGCCTGGAGGATGCAGGCACCGGGCGCCGGCTTTCCCTCCTCCTGGAGTGATGGAGAGGGCCGGTGAGCTGAACAAAGACACCCGCCCGGAGGAGCGGGTCCTCTGCTGAAGAGCACTGTCTTCGCCCCGCGACGGCCGCCTGCGGGCGAGAGCGTCGGCCGCGCAACTCCAGGAGTGGCGCGCTCTTCTGCGGGCGGGCGCGGAGCTGGAGCTGGGCACCTGCGCGCCGCTCCCGCCACATCTCGGGAGCATCCCTACTACCACCGGGTTGTTGCCGAAGGTCTACGTCTCCCGGGGTCCAAAGTCCAAAGGCAACCTGTTCGGGGTGCAGCGGGAAGAGACGCCGGGACCTTTATCCTTTGCTGCCTCGTAGGAGGGACTGCGTGCTGTGGACGGAGCAGGCGTTTCGGGGACACTTTTGTAAGCCAGGGGCTTCCGCGTGAGTGAACACGCCTGGTGCCCAGCAGGCGCGTCCTCCCGGTGGACTCTGCCGCCTGAGTATCGGCGTTTTGTGGACATCAGCAACTGGGACCCCCCTCCCCCCTCCCGTGCTTCCTCCCGGGGCATTGTCCGGTGCGAGGGGTCTGCACTGTCTCGGGCTGCCCTGCGCCTCGCAGGTGAGGCTGGTGGAGGCGTGGGTCCAAGGTAAGGACCGGCCGTGCTGTTTGATGGCTTCACTGAGGAGAGTCAAAGTGTTGTTGGTGTTGAACTTGATCGCCGTGGCCGGCTTCGTGATCTTTTTGGCTAAGTGCCGGCCTATCGCGGTGCGCAGCGGAGACGCCTTCCACGAGATCCGGCCTCGCGCCGAGGTGGCCAACCTCAGCGCGCACAGCGCCAGCCCCATCCAGGATGCGGTCCTGAAGCGCCTGTCGCTGCTGGAGGACATCGTCTACCGTCAGCTTAATGGTAAGGACTTGCCTGGCGCCTGTGGGTCCAGGTGTGTGCGGGCACAGGGGGCACCTCCCTGGCTCTCTGCTCCGTGTACCCCAAGCTGACGTCTGAACGCGCCTGGTTTCTTTTCCATCCCTGCTCTGTATCTGGGACTATTAGAGAAACCACTACCTGCTCCTTTTCCATGGAGTACTCTAGCTGGAAGCTTGGTCTCGCTCTAGAAACCTGTCACCACAGTTGACTCTTGTCCGCTTGTGACTCCAGCTTCCAGACAGGGTGGACTGAGGCTGGGGGCGTCTACAAAGGAAAAAAGGCTGTCAGTCAGTGCTTGGTGTTTGGTGGGGGAGCTGCTAGGGAAGTGGGTGAAGGCTTGAATGAATGCGTTATTTCTTTAGGTTGATTGCATCACGAAGAGTGCAGACTCTTCCTTCCCACTGCCTGGGTGCAAGGTGGTATGTTAAAAACCATCCCATCCTGAACCAAGTGGCAAGGGAGGTTCACGTTCTCAGTGGGTCTGGGAAGCAGGTGTTCGTTCACAAAGTTCAGCCAAACAAGAAGGGATGGCACCCCAGGTTCAGTGTTTTCCGGAAGCTGTCCCATCCAGCCCATTCTAAGTGAGTTACTATAAAAGGGCAGGGTGGGGGACCTAACTTACTATTTCCACCTGACCCAAGGGACTGATGGTCCCTGAACACTTGCTGTCTTCAGCGTCACGTAGTCTAGTATGAGAAGACATAGTGATTACGGAAATCTGGCTCTCTCTTCCCAACCTTCTGCGTGTTCCCATGGCCTGGAACTGTCAGCCATTGTAATGACTGCTAATAACTCCTTGCTGTGTGCTAGAGGGACATTACAAGCTCTGCACGTGCATGGTAGCACATAACCATCAGTCCACGGAGCTTCCGGCCCCTCCCCCACAGGAGAACAGAACAAACCAGACTGGGGGAAAGTAACTAAGCTGCCTGTGCCCTTATTGATGTTAGTTAAGTGGTATTTTAGAGTCTCTTGACTACAGGGCTCACGCTTTTGGCTAAAAGGCATAAATTTCTTTTCATATGTCTTTGTGCAGGTGTGTGTGTGTGTGTGTGTGTGTGTGTGTGTGTGTGTGTACACGTGCAGGCCAGGGGCTGACCTGGAATGTCATTCCTTGGGTACATTTCCCTTAAAATCTTTTTTTAAAGACAGGGTCTCTCAGAGATCTGGCGCTCACAGAGTAAGTGAGGTCAGCTGACCAGCGACCCCAGGAATCCAGCTGTTTCCACTCTCCAGCTCTGGGATTACAAGTACATGCTACCGTGCCCAGTTTTTTTTTTTTTTAATGGGCTTTAGGGACCAAATTCAGAGGTCTTCAAGCTTGCTTGGCAAGTATTTCGCCAACCGAGCCATCTCCCTAGTCAAAAGACACAAATTTCTATCTTGGCCTCCTAATTTTAGTTTCAAACGTGTGTGTGTGTGTGTGTGTGTGTGTGTGTGTGTGTGTGTGTGTGTATGGTGTATTTGGGGAGAGTGCACACATGGAGGCCAGAGGCCACATATGGAGGCCAGAGGACAACTTCCTAGTCAGCTCTCTCTCTCTCTCTCTCTCTCTCTCTCTCTCTCTGCCATGGGGTTGTGAGGGTGGATCAAGGTCCTCAGGCTTGGCTGTCCTTACCCATTAAGCCTTCTCACCGCTCTGAGCTGAGTTTTAATGTATATATGATTTTTGGATAAGTGAACCGCACAGATCAATAGGTGCAGCCACAACCTGTTTACACTTGGGTTGGGGACCAGACTTAACTGCCTTTACTGGGATGAGAATGACAGACTCGCCTCATGGCAGGTGGCCGAGGACTAGGGAGACAGTTTTGTCTCTCTCTTTTTTCCCTTTGATGATGCCTTCTGGGTAATTCCGGGAGAGGGATGTGGACAGTCTTCCACATTCATGGAGATGCCATAGTCATCGTAGCACCGCATGGTGCGTATCCAGGGGGCTTTGATGAACCATCAGTGTGAGGCTGCAGCTCACAATCGTACCCTTACAGGTAATGAGGCCAGGCCGTCAGGGCAGCCCACGAAGGCCGTGCTGAAACTCTTCTCCCAAACACCTCAAGACAAAATGGACGGAAGAAGACTAAACCCCTCTGTTCATTTTGGAGCGTGTGAACTCTGCACACTGGAGGTGAGGCAGGAGGATCATATGTGCAAGGCCAACCTGGAGATTAGGCTAAACCAGGAGAGGTGGGAGTCATTTTTCCAAATTGATACACTGCGGAAAAACATGCAGGAGACATCCCCCAAATAGCCAGACCTTGCTCACTCTCAAGCTACATGCAGGGACACAGGTCATTTTAGTAATTGTTTCCATTAGGGACATGAAACGCTATGGCCATACCTCTTAATGGGAATGAATTATAAACATCCTATGTGGTACTCTTTGTTTGTTGTGGTGTGGATTCCTACGTGAACACATGCATGTGGAAGCTGGGTGTCATGTCTGCTGTCTTCCTCAATCATTTCCCCACCTTGGTGTTTTGAGACGCAGTCTCTCACTGAACCTGGAGCCTCCTACCTTTGGCTAGACTGGCTGGCCAGCAAGCCCTAGTGACCCTCTTCACTCAGGCTCTGCAACACTGGGATACAGGGAAAGGCATAGCAAGTCCTGTGCAGCAAGCACTTTACCCAGTGAGCCATTTTCTCAGACCACTGTGTGGGCCACTTTTTTTCCCCCCCGATGTGCATGTCCCCTTAGCATTTGCAACAACGCTGTGAGGCACCTGTCCTAATTTGTCCCTTTGAGACATGCTGGCAGCCACCCAGCAACTATTAGGGCTTTAAAATGGCTCTGGACCTTGTTACCTTACGGTGAAGGCTCTTAGCTGCTGTGCCCATTCAACTTCCTGGACTTTACTATCAAAGTCACTTGCAGGGTCTGTGTATACGCAGAATTCATGGCTCCTCAGGGCTCTTTTTCAATAGGCAGAGAGTAAGGTCCAAGACTTTGCCTCTGATGAACTCTTCACTCTCTATCAGATACTCTTCTGCCTATACCAAACCTAGTAAGGGCAGGTTTCATCAAATGAAACCTCTCATCAACACTCTCATCAAATGACAGAGCCAGCAGGCTGGGTAGGACTTGGAAGAAGCCAAGATTTTCTTCCAAGGGGGCTTTGGGTCTGGATTCTTTGGCTGAGCTTCCAGCTTTGTAGAGAATGCCCATGCTCAGAGCTCAGTTGCCTGAGCCCTTGCCTAGCTTGCATGAGCTCCTGAGTCCCATCCCTAACACCACAAAAACCAGGCACAAATTTCCAATCTCAGCCCTAGGGAGCAGAAAGGAGGATTAAGACTTCAAGATCATCTTTGAGGACTTATGGAGCTCAAGGCCAGACTGGGCTACATGAGACCACACTTCAAAATCAAAGAAGAATGGAAGGGAGGGAGGGAGAGAAGGAAGCTAGAAGAAATTTTTGGCTGGTTGAGTGGGGAGCTAGAAAGAGGGAAGGCTGGAAGCTGGCTTAGTGAAATCCAGCTGGAGCTTTTCTTGGGTAAGCTAGGACTCCCACCTGGATCTTGGCAGAATCTGTCTTCCTGGGCAATGAAGGTTTGTAGGAATATGCCACCTGGAGGTTTTGTAAAAGCAAAGGAAAGTTCTGATATGGAGAAGACCCTCCCTGTCTCCAACCCGCCCTCAGGGGCACCAGCCTTGTTTTGGGGACTGCCTGTTCCATCTGTCATACTAGGCTGTCTGCTGTACCCAGAGGAAGGGGAGGGCTCTTCCTGGTGCATGGAGAGATGGGTCCAGGGCTTCATCAGTGTTCATGCTGTGCACCTGTCTCCCCCTGTTGCCACTGACAACAAAGGTGACCAGGGACCCAGGGTTCCTTATTCCTTAGCTGGAGCTGGACACTGGGCACAAAGCAGGTACTCATATGCAGCTCCTTGGTGCCGTATGAAGCTGGCAGTTTTCTTTCTTTCTTTTTTAAAATTATTTTTTTATATGCATCAGTGTAAAGGTATCAGGTCCCTTGGAATTGGTGTTACAGATAGTTGTGAGCTGCCATGTGCGTCCTGGGAATTGAACCCCAGGTCCTTCGAAAGAGCAGACACTGCTTTTAACCACTGAGCCATCTCTCCAGCCTCGAAGCTGTCATTTTTCAAAGTTGCACAGAGCTGGTCTAGTCATGCAGTCCAGTGGTAGAATGCTTGCCTTGTGTGTGCAAGGTCCTAGGTTTGATCTCTAGAGCAACAGAAGACATACAAATAAAGATCTACCTGTGGCCTCTTAGTTCTAGCAGGAGAGATTCACATAGAGTCCACCTTCCTCTGGCTGAGTTTTGATTTGCTTGAGTGTGTTTGCTTGTTTTGAGGCTGGCTCTCATGTATCCTAGGCTAGCCCAAAACTCCCTAAGTAGCCAACGATGACCTTGAAATCCTAATCCTTCTGCCTCCTCCCCAGTGCTGGGATCACAGATCTATCCAGGCAGTTCTATGAAGCTCCTCATCGTCATTGTTGCAGTTTGTTTGCTTATTTATTTATTTATTTAGAGGTTTTTTTTTTTTTTTTTTTTTTTTTTTTTTTTTTTTTAGACAGCGTATCTGTGTGTCATAGCCATGGCTGTCCTGGACTGGCTTTGTAGACCAGCCTGGCCTCAAACTCACAGAGATCCACCAGCCTCTGCCTCCCGAGTACCATCTTTGTTCTCATGATTGGTTTCATCTCTGCCTACTTGCTGAGATACCCTACATCCACCTCAGGCTCCTTAGCTTCCACATTGCAACTCAGTCTCTGAGAAGAGTTGGCTGTACTGGAATTCTCTGCACACTCCTCAGTTCTGTCCACTGGCTCTTGTGGTTGAGGGATGTCAAATGTTATGTGGGCAACAGCCTTGTTGCTTTGAGCTACTCAAGGCTTTAGTGACAGTCACATTGTGGCCTTAGCCTGAACTCTTAAGCCTCAGTGGGTTTAACTTTGGAGTCCAGAAGTGACTAGGTTTGTTTTAAAGGGCTGGAGCCCTATTTTAGACTTTTACATCCCACCT